ACTGTGTCTGGCCACCCATATCAAGGATCACCCTTATCCTGTGTGTACTAGAACTTTTCATGATGTCACACAGTGATTGTCCCTGTAAATGTAGTAGTCATTTATGGGTTCATTCCTTCTCCTTTAATAAGAAATGTGATCAGAGATTGTTGTTCCAGTCTGGAAACTGATGAACAGCTCAGTGTCAGTGAGAAGAAATCTACAGAACTGAGCTTCACTTTCGTGGAGGTGTTCAGGAGACAGAGCTGAAAGTTACTATTGGGATATGTTGTGACGTGCTGTGACACACATTGTCCTTTATATTGAAGTAGATAACTCAGCAGAGTAGCCTTTTATCTCAGCCAGCATGTAGCCAATATAATGTACAGTGACTGCCAAAAAATTAAGGTCACCTTAAAGAAAATATGTTTCATACACAAACAATAATTGCGTATGATTTATTCAGTGTTTTTAATGATTACCTGCAATGTTATGAGCTTTCAGGCATTCTTTACTCTTCTTAGCGCTGTCGTGACCAGGTTTCAACATTCAGCACATAAATGTGTAGATTTTGGAAATGTTGCAATTTTCTTTTTGTCTTCTTGGTTTTGGCTAAATAAATCTAATAGCAGTATGTTCCATAGCATCTCAGTCGTGTTCAGGTGCAGGCTTCTAACCAGTCAAGACAATGATATACCATTCTGTTGTTCTTCATAATTTGTTGCATAGGGCATTGACCTGTTGATTAAAAAAATAACAAGCAAGGAGGTTTTATCCTTTATTGTCTCAGTGAACACCTCAGAGTCTATTCTTTCATCATTGAATCAGATGATGCCATGTCTTTTACAGATATGCAACCCCAGACCGTAATAGATTCACCTCCGTGTTTCACTATAGGTGTCAAACATTTCAGCAGAAATATTGCTTTTAAATAAGATACCTGTGTACTATGATGCAAGTGAAGTTAAAATCTTGATTTGTCACTAAAGAAGAAAACCTTTCCCTATGCTTTCCCTTTTTTCCAGTTTTTTTTTTGTGGAAATATGGTCTTAAGTGACAAGAATGCAATCCCTGGTCTTTTAGTCAACATGAACATGTCATTGCTGACAGTTTTTCCTTTGGTGTCATTGTACAGACATCACAGTTGGAAGTTATTGTCACTGTCAGATCAGATCTTGTTTGTCTAAATGCTGCTGTGGTTTGTGTCACACATTTTACTATGTTCCAAGTGTTTTACAGTTTTTCAGTGTATTGTGTTGCCCTTGTATACTCCTATCATTTGCTTCTTTGGTTTTGTATGATGTACTTATTTAACACATTTTGTCACAGTACTGCTTAAATACTGCCTTTCTTGAAAGGCATGCAGTGTTGGAAAGGAAAAGAGGACAGAGGACGCTACATATTACAAAATAGCCATGAGTCTAATCTTGAGAACAAAACTATAAACAAGAACCTGCACAAGTTGAACCTTGATATCTCTGATAGTAAATTAGGAATGACATAGTGAATTCAGTTACATTTTAAGCCATAATGTTCTTCAAATTATGAAATTGTAATAACGTAGTGAGAAAAATGTGAATTATTTTTTGATAGTTTAAAACACTTCAAATATACTTTAAAAATAAATTATTTGGAAATGTTAGGTGGTCTGCTGTACTGCTGTAATATCACGTGAAATTTCATATAATTTTTCCTTAATTTAAAAAAGAAAGAAGCATCCCTGATATATTGTAGCGTGTAGAGCAGTTGCTATACAACAGCTGCAAAATGGGCAGATATACCTGGGTTGTTTCTAGGCAATGGCTCAGTAAACATGTTCCCTTTGCTAGGCAGTGGATTCTTAATAATGCAGCAGCTAGACTACAACAATGGAAGAGCTGCATTTTCTACATGGCCAATGCCGAGATGTTATAAGCAAGGGACTAGGGCAGTTCAGTCAGTTCTGTCTGGGAGTCTATTAAGGGAGAACTTGAGCCAGAGGCAGAGGCATAGCCACTGCTGGAGCCATTACAACGAAACATCTAGTAGCAGACTGAGAACACTAGACTGTGTGCTTCAGAGAATTGTATAGTGGAAGTAGCGATAGTGTTATAGTTATTTGTAGTTATGACCTGTAAGTGGTCAATAAATTTATTCAATCCAAACCCTATCTATAGTCACACATGTACTGGGTGACAATATGAATTAATTTAGATATTTTTATTTTTTACTTCTTGTACAGTTCGTCATGAGCAGTTCAATAAAAGAATATTTTAGTGCGGAAACACGGCACTGTAAGACCAAAGATTTGTAATCTGTAGGACATATGTGCTCTTAAATTTTGTAGAGGCACTGTAAGTCCATGTAAAGTGGCTTCATAGGTAGCCAGTATTCTTGTTGATACTCTTAGGCCTGCTACACTAACAAATTTGAATTGTTTCATTCTGAATCAAGTCTGAATCACAAAGATCCTTCAGAGGCAGACCCACAGCTGTGCTTAAACTTGACTCTTACAATGTGGCATTTACAGATGGGTCTATCTTTAGTGAAGGTCTGAGGTATGAAATTAGCAGGATCTGTGGAAGATTTTGGAGTGCCTAAAAACTGTTTATTTCTCCCTAGTTCATTCAATAATATCTTATGGTATAATATTGTGGGGGAGTTCAGCCCATGCAAAAATCATATTTAAAATACAGAAAAGAATAATAATAATTATTACCAATTCTCATAATGTGGACTCGTGCCATAATTTATTTAAGGAGTTACATATATTGCCACTTCAATCGCAATATATATTTTCCTTACTTATGCTGGTTGTCAAGAATAGAGATTGCTATATAACAAACTGATGTCCACACTCGTAATACCAGATTTAATTATGACTTGCATCTTCCGGTGGTAAACTTAACGATATTTCAGAAAGGTGGATGGTATTCTGGTATCAAACTTTATAACCACCTCCCTGAAGATCTTAAACAATTATCTTATGACATCCCTGGATTTAAAGTGGCGTTAAAGAAGTTTCTTATCACCAATTCCTTTTACACTGTTGAAGAGTACTACTGCTGGAATTAAGATTGATCCCTCATGTATATTTAAATAAACTCCGTTGCCTATTGCTAGGATGCAATGGACTATGGAATAAAATACACAGGAAAAAGCTACTATTACTATTGTGATATAGGTGTATTATATATTAAGAAATTAGATTTTATATGACTGTATTAAGAGTCTTGGTGGTCTCTTGATCATGTATGTAATTTTATACGTTATTTTGATATATGAAATGTATTGTTGTACAGTAGTCTTGTTGTATTGAGTATTTAAAATTTTGATGATTATGACTATCTGATTATGTATGTATATTTCATATGTTATATTGTATTGCTGACTTGTTCTATATCTGAGACAGATGCCTCTATGGATATTGTAGAACTGTAAATAAATGAATGAATGAATCCTTATTTATTAAAATATTACAGTTTTAAGTTCTAAGTTGATCAAAATCAGTTATCTGACATTTGGAAATTATTTCCCCCCATCTGGATAACATTTGTGTAAAAGTGCTACCTGGAGGCTGAAATATGTACAGCTGCCCATATTTTGTTTAGGGAAGTTTTAAATCTGTAGTAACTGTGTTTTTATGTTTGCTTGCCTGTTCTTCGTACAGTCAGCAGTGCACACAAAGAGGCTCATTGCATATTGTATTTCAACCAAACACGTTACAATATGAAGAAAGCAGTCTTTTGGGATTTGGCACCGTGTATATGGGGTGTTAACCACATATATATGGTCTGCTTTTACCGGTTCTCACAGTCTCTTCGCTTGCAGATTTCTTATATTTTTTCTTCTACCCTGAAGATGGAGGCGATGCGTTCCTCCGAAACGTCGGTTAACACCACATATACACGGTGCCAAATCCCAAAAGACTGCTTTCTTCATAGTCACCGCCGTGAAAGCCTCAAATCTTACACGTTACAATATATTCATCATTGGGTGTTTAGGTTGTGCTCACTTGTGTAGGGCTTTTAGTATCTGATGGGTGTATTATAAGATGAGACACTTTAAGTAGTGAGTGTTTAAACATTACAAGTACCTGATCATGACAAATTTTTACTTGAAACCCATTGTGCAAGGAATGTATTCTGTGTATAGAGATGGTGGTTTGAGTTATAAATGTCCTTTTGATGTCATGCACAAATTCTTCTGTTTTATATTGGAATGTTTTCTCTACAGTAATGAATATAATCAGAAGTGCCAACCTTGTAATTGTATGTACTTCATTAGAAAAACGCTGACACATTGTCTTTGCCTTGCTGCCTACCTCCTGGTCTTTCCTTCTGCCTGTCTATACTCACTCACTCATGAAACTGAGTCCTTCTTGAGAAGCTGCCAATTGTGCAGCTACTCAAGGAGTTCCCAGAATTTTATGGAACCTGAACACAACCCTCCACTGGTCCCTATCCTGAGCCAGATCAATCCAATCTATGCCATCCATTCCTATCTCTCTAAGATCCATTTTAATATTGTCCACCCACCTAAATCTTACTCTTCCCGGTGGTCTCTTTCCTTCTGGCTTTCCCACCAATATCATATATACATTCCTCCTCAACTGTCCATCTGTATACAACTAGAAATCATGTTTTGTGTGAATGGATTTGAGGTAATGATTGTCAGAGGGTATAATGGATTCTACTGATGGACTATATGGTTCTCCATATTAGTAGTAATATTTGTCTTATTGTGCTAGACATTGACATAGTATCAGTTTAATATTATGACATTACTTTCGTAGAGAGAGAGAGAGAGAGAGAGAGAGAGAGAGAGAGAGAGTTGTTTATGTATCTCATATTCTAAAATGATTGCATTGACTTCTTTTGTAAATATCAAACTTGATGTTTTCCTTCCTTTGAATATTTTGAATGTAAGATACCTTTTGGAAGGTATTGTAGATGACACCACAGATGTCGTTGATATGGTGATAATATTCATTGCTTTTATCTCTCTCATAATAACATATTTGTGTATTTTTGTGATTGCAGTCAGAACGAGAGGAACTGACAGTGGTGGGCTTGTTGCCATGGCAACGGCACAGCCAACATTCAGTATGGCCACTGCAGCATCCACAGCAGCGGCAACAACAGCAGCGACAGCCTCACCTTCTGATTTGGTGGGAGGAGTGGTTGGAGGAGGTGGTAGTAGTGGGGGAGGAGGGAATCAACAAGGGCAGCAGGGAGCCAGTCCTGTCGCAACTGTCACAGTTGTTACCAGTCCTCCAAGTCAGCAGCAAACCTCTCAGCAGGCAATTGTCTCAGCAAATTCGGTCTCCATTACTGCAGTCACTCATCATACTCTCCAGCAGGTGAGAGAAGCCTCATATTTGTTAAGTGAAGCAACACAAGTTTCCTTCAATGAAAAGTTTTATTGTGTGAATAATGTGTCCTTATACAACACATTCATGTGATTCAGAGTAATGTGCTTCGGTTTCATGGGTAACATATATTACTTATAATGCCCACATTTTTATTCTGTGCATGTTATACCAGAATTTATGCACCATAGACCTTTAAATTTAAAAGTATACTCTAAAGCTCCTCTGATGCTTTGAGGTAGCCTGGTCTTATTATGGTATTATAGATAGATGTTCAGTATACATGAAGACTGCAGATGAGGCCATTCCTTCAGTGGATTTCATGATGTAATAGTTTCCATTTTAACATTTTGATCATTGTTAAGTGAACAAGAATATGCTAACAATTTTCTTTGCAACATGTATTATTTAAAATTTGAGGCTAGCACAAGCATATTACATAATTCAATTTTTGAGGAATTGTGACAGTGAGAAACAGTTTATTGTATTCATGGTTTTGGTCACAGATGAGAGATCGCTTTTATTTGGTAGTTACATATGAGCAATTATGCATTATTAATGGTTCAGTTGTTAGAAAAAATTTAGAATTCTATTGTATGTCTTCTTGTGTATATGTGTGTTTTTTAACTCGTAAATTGTTGATCATTCAGGATCTTATGGTAAGACTGTGTCTTTTTTGTTTAATTCTGTGTTGTTGTATGTAAAGGGTGTTATTCTTAATTTCTGATCCTCCCAGGAAAAGTATTGACTATCTTTATGTTTATACTAAGCTGGATATTGAATCATTACATATAGCTGTGAAATAGTGCAGGGACATAGATGCTAGGTCTCATGTATGTTGAGCTTTTTTAATGATTTTAATGTTTGTCATAACTCTCACAGATGGTTTATGCTGTGCTTGGTTTATATATCCTATCTTGTGTTGGTACTGGTGTCTGGAGATGGGGACTAGCTTTATCACTTCGGCCCAACTGAGTAGGTTCCACCTGAAGGTGGAGACAGAATCCAGTCTCCAAATTGTTGTATGTTTTAAATAGAAACAAAGTGATGGATAATGTCCAGAAACGCAGTGTCTCATAGCAGTGTTTGGGAAAGGGATAGCATTGTAGAACATGTTCCTGTGTGCAGAGAATTCTGTTAGGAGCTGTAGGGTAATGTGCATTGTGTATATTTTATGTGGGTTCTTCTTAAATTTCCTTTTCATTGATTCCTGTTAAAGTTGTTTTTATTTTTGTTTTGTTCTGTTTGTGTTTCTGTTTTATGTGGATGTGATACTTTTCTTAGGGTGGGGTGAGATAATTTGTTGGGGCCTGGGTTGTAGATGGCCATTGTACCAGCCATGAATGATAAGTGGTAGAAATGGAGCATGTGGTGGAGTGAAAAGTGGCAAGGAAGACTGAAATCCTCAGAGAAGCTTTGAATCTGCGACTGCATCCTTCACAAATCCCACATTAATTGACCCGGGGTTGAACCTGGGCTGCTGTGGTGAGAAGCCAGCCACTAACTGCCTCATCTATGGCATAACCAGTCATTATACCTAACAAGTCTGCATTTTGTATTTGTCAGCAATATCAGCAGTTAATGAACTATAAGCTTTCAAATCTGGTGCAGCTGAGACAGCATTTGACTGTAGGACCTATCTGGCATGAGAATCTTGGCAACCATAAACTGCTATATGTTGTGAATTAGGGAGACTAGTTAGTTAGTTAGTTAGTTAGTTAGTTAGTTAGAGAGGGTGGGTTTCCCCATGCACCGTGACCAGTTTGATCTATTGTGCTTCCCTCTATGATATTCTGCCAGTCTCTATACCCTACCGATAAATGGTGCGTACCATCAGTTCCGCCGAGCAAGCGAGTTCGGCCACTTGCTTAGCGGTGTCTATAATGCTTCCCCCATCTATCAGAGGCCTTAGAGACTATTGTTGGGCAGGAAATGTCCTGGAATTTGGCTCAGTCATCCCCTTTGGGGATATGAGGTTCTTTTACGTGCCGTAAAGTTACGACACGGGACACACAGCTTAAAGTCCCTCCCGGAGGACTTATTCCCTGAATTTTTCTGCCCTTAAAAATTCGAGGACCTCCGCCGGATATTTGAACCCGCGTACCACGAGCCATGAGGGAGACTAAGAAATGAATGAATCCTTGTGATAAGTTTACTCTGCAATTTTGTAGATCAGTATAATTACACAAATATTTATCCACAGGTTGGTATTTTATTTAGGCCACTGAATTTTAGCCTTTTGAAATTTGTTGCATTTACTGTCATGTGTTTATGAGAGAGGCCACGTGTGAAGATTTTGGTGTCATGAAACTACCATGCATAAACATATTAGTTATCTATCATATATGCTGAGGGAAGTACAAGGCAAGATTATGTATAGCCAGGCAAGATAAGTAGTGGCCAATAGAAGTTCAGAGCTGTGACAGTAGAAATCATGCGTCATTCCACCTCAAGGAATGTTATAGTAAATTGATGGTAATTCCCAATACATCTATAGCTATGCTGCCCCTGCCTTCTTTAACTAGCTTTGAGCCCACTGTCTTGCTTGCCACCATTAATCTTAGTTTCTTGCTCCTCTCATGTTGGGCAGGGGCAACATAAAGTAACAGGAGAGAAACAACATATTTTAACAGCAGTACCTTCATAGTAACTACTGGGAGAGCATCATGCTTTTAAGCATATTGAATGTGGGATTAAAACAAATAATATTGCATGTAATAGAATTAGAGTTGAACTATCTGTCATAGTATAGCAATATGTAGCACAAAATTAAATACAAAACAAACACATGAGTGGTGCAAATGGATAACTTTTTTAATCATCTATTTATATCCTGCAGAAGTTTATTGCTTGTTCACATTAAATTTAGTTGCACAAAATAATTTTCTTATTTTAAGTACTCTTTTAAGTGGTATAATTGCTATCTCAAACATTTTTTCGTTTTCTTAATATCAGTGGGACTGAGAATTTATCATAGCCTTCAGGTGAATTTGCAGCATTTGATAAAACTTCATCAGACGTTTTTGATTGCCGATCTTAGGTCACAGATGCACATGTAGATGGTCAGACATGACCTATTCATTGTACAGTACATAAAAAGCTCATAAAGAGTTTCCATACTGTCAACAGCACTTTCCCATTGATAGAATTTGTGGCAATGTTAAGAATGATTTTTTAAACACTCCCAGTATGTAGACTATAGCACTGAATGGCAGGGTGATGAATGGTTAATTGAAAAAGGATTTAGAAGGAAGTGGACATGGCCTGTTTGAGGTGGAATTTGTCTGGATGGACAGGAAAACCACAAAGAACCTCAGTAAAGATTGCTGATGTTCCAGCCAAGGTTCACCTTCTGAGTGAGTGTAGAACAATACTGTTACACTAGCCTACTTGGTTGTTTGGTTGTGTTATTTGTGTTACGCTGGGATAGTTATGAACTTTCTAGCAATCATTAGTGCAACTGAAAGTAGTTTAAATACATAAATAATTTACATATTTGAGGAGTGGTTAGTTACAGTAATACCATTTACAATAAATGCGCACAGGGCTTCAGAAATATGTACAACTGAAATTCATCAACCCCATAACAAAATACATTTGTCCATACTCTCATAGCATGCTTCATGAAATTTTTTGTGGAAATCGTTGAAAAACTCAACGTTAATTGTAAAAATTGGGACCAAAATGACATATTATTTGTGGGTGAAGGAAGAAGAGACCCCTATTATATTTAAATATGGCAACACATTTATTAACACTCAGCTTAACGCTTTCACTGCCAAAGTTATGTTTATGTTAGAAATAACTGCAGTTTTCAACACAGACAATCCAAATTATTATAAATAAATTTTGAAAGGAAATGGTATTCATTAATAAATTGATGATTTCATATTAAAAATCAATTCAAATATGTTAGAATCTTGTGCAAGACTGACATTCTTGCAGTGGCGATTATGAAGACTGCTGTCTTCTAGGACGTGACACTATGTGGTCTCATAGACTATGTTAAAAATGTGATGATCAAAGGAAATCATATTTGAAGAGAAACTGTAAGAAAACCCCATTCTTGCCCTAACAAGATTCACCATACATGCAGACTTGAAGAAATCTTTGGAAATATGACATACATTTTGAGTGGAATGAGACTTATCCCACAGTAGAATAAGAGTCTTTGAACAGATACAGGCGTCATATTATGTTTGGTCCCCTGCCCCCCCTAAACCCCCTTCTCAGAACATAGTATAAATGCATGCTTTCCATTTGTGTAGGATTTCTGTGTTGCAGTCTAATAGATGTATAAAGACATTGGGTAGTTTTCGTTTCAGTAGAATGGTTTGCTGCTGGATGACTTCTGACATATGTAGTAATTTATATATCTACCAGCTGAAGCAAAATACCCTGTTAAATTTCAATATAACAGCCGAGAGGACTGTCCATGATGTGTATTTTTGCTAACCATCTTACAGCGCATACAATTTCACCTTTCTCTTCACTTTTACACTACATGTTTTGGCACTAATGTGCCATCTTCAGGTGTGTGTCTATCCACGTCAAACTACTGCCCTGCATGGCATCACTTCTTCATCATAAATTGATTAAAATGCATATTTGTCATGTATAACAACAACTTCTAAATACTAAAACCTTTCAGGATTCGTCATCCATACGTCGTATGTCAAATACTCGAGTCACGCCAATCTTCCTCTATGGGAGCACTCTTCCTACATTCATGTGTATATTGTGCTCTGTGTTGTGTCCTTCTCTTGTGACTGCGTGCATTGTGCTGCTGGTTGAATTAATGTTAACTTACAAGGAACTTAATCTTGTCCAGGCCATTGCCTATCCTCATTCAGCTATTTCTGTCTTCAGGCAAATGTAATTGTAGACTCTCAAGTAGGTCATGACCTCTTTCAAATCCTTTCAAACATACACATACACAAGTTTCTTCAGGAGTTGGTGCAGTATGACTGTTTGAGGCCACAGTACCAAGGGACTCAGCTTGAACCTTCTGTACTATCATTCATTGAGTCCAGTGTCATGTTCATCTCGACATGGGAGTGAAAATGTTAATAAGCTGAGTGCTCATGGAATCTGATGTCTCACAAATCACTTTCCTAGCTAGTGAATTTTCTTCATATGAAAGAAGCTAAGAATTAATGTCCTTTCCCCTTACATTGCAGTAATCCCCTCCCTGGTCTGTTTGTAATCGTCCTGTCACATCTCATGTAAAACAACTGGTGCTACAGTATTATGAACCTAAGTAAGAAATAAATATGACTTAAATATGGACCATACAGGGGGCTAATGAGAAAATATTACAATCAGTTGATATGCAGAAGGTGAGAGCAGGGTAAAGCCTTTCCAACCATAGAGGGAGTGAGTGAGAAAATTATTTCACTAGTTAATGATAATGCTATGGAAGAAGTTTGAAGGGATATGCTAGATAATGAGCCCTAATAGGTTCTGAAAAGTAATGACATATCAGCCAGGACGAAGAATACGCTTAAGATGACCAAAAAGGTGGAAAGTTTCTATTGTGCACTGCTCAACCAGGTCGATTATGAATCACAGTGGGGGGTTTTGAAAGGTACAAAATGAGATACATGGAGAAGAAAGCCTTGTTTTGAAATTATAGTACGATAAGGCCTGTCTAAAGCAGAACCTACTTTTATAGGATAATTTCTTTGGTCTTGAAAATGTGGAATAAAATAAGATAAAATTACCCTTAAGAAATAAAAACTGGTATCACAGGTACAGAAATGAAAATTAGAAATTAACAGAAGTAGCTTGGTTTAATATTTGTCATTTTCTCTTCATATTGTTATGTTCATGACTATTTTTTATTGCTATTGGGGTGGGACTAAGTCCCTTGTACTGCGGCCACTTCTGGCCTATTGTACCAGCCCCAGATGATAGGTGAGGGTGATTGTGGAGCAATTGGTGGAATGAAGATTGGCAGGGGAAACCGAAGTACTCGGAGAAAACCTGCCACTGCGCCACTTTGTCCACCACAAATCCCACTTGACCAGATGCGGGATCGAACCTGGGCCACTGCTGTGGGAAGCCAGCGACTAACTGCTTCAGCTATGGCGTGGCCCTCTGTTCATGACTATGTTCTGGAAATTGTGTGAGAAGAATCACTCTTGTTATCAGAAAGGAAGATCAACCTCCAACATCATACGTGCTGAATATGTTTTTAGGCTGCTGGAAAAGTGAAGAAGATGTAAGCAGAAAAAGAAAAGAAGAAAACTGAAAATATGTATTTTTATAACTGTGTTATTTGTCTTTATATTGAATTAATTTATGACTTTATTTATTTATTGAATGCCTCTGTGGTCTGGTGGCCAGAATTCCTGGCTGCAGATCCACAGGTCCTGGGTTCGAATCCCGGCGCTACCAGGATTTCTGAGAAGAAGTGGGTCTGGAATGGGGTCCACTCAGCCTTGTGTCGATAATTGAGGAGCTACTTGAATGTAAAAGTAGTGGCTCTGGTCTAGAAAACCGAAATTAATGGCCATGGGGATTCGTTGCACTGACCATGCAACACTCTCTATCTGCTATAGTTGGCACTAATTTCGCCGACAAGCGGCGGTTGCTCGATCAGTATAGTTCCCCTGCTTAATAAAGCTACGGAGTTTTTATTTATTTAACAATGCTGTCAGAAACACATTACATGATGTCAAAATCTTAACCATGAGTACATAAATATAAGGATATGTATTGTAATATTTTCTTGGTAAACAGAAAGCTGTTTGGAACAGAAAAATGACAAAAGTGTTCTGGAATTTTGCTGTAAACAGATTTTAGTCTACTGTACTTTTCTAGTTGTTGATATCTAAAATATAATTTCTCATTGAATGTAATTAGTCTTTTATCTATCACATGGAATAATATTTAAGGTTACTGAGTCTTTTACAATGTGTTGCAGCTTGAGGGAGAAGGCTTAACCATGCTGTCTCTCACTGAGGCCTCAAATGTACATGTATTGATTTTTTGTTTGCCAATAGTGTGTGCTATAGTAGAGTATGTTTTGTTAGGATATAGTCATAGGAAGTAAAAATCCTTGTGTGCTATTGATTGTGCTTATCAAAAAACTGATAAGTTACAGCAGAACTGATGGACAAGAACGACATGTTTAAATTTGCAGATAACAAAATCTTGCACATAGGAAAATAATACAGGAAAACAAGGAAACAAGTACGTTGCTCTGCATTATTTGCATAAAGTGCATAATGTATAGGTTATGTCTGCCTATCCATCTTACTGTCCATCTCTGTTACCACTAAATGATAGTTTTCAGTGAAATTAGTATGCCATTGGTGGGCGCCCCAGTTTCAGAATTGTTAGTTTTTTTAGAATCAGTAATAACAATGCGATGGACATACAAACTCATGAAGTGGAAGCTACACAAGCACCACTGAATGGAGGATTCTGAAATGATGTATGGTAAGAGATCTTGAAGAAATATGCAACTTGCAGGGTGTTCTCTTTTTGTGTGTGTGAACTGGAAAAGAAGATCATGATGGCTGCGTGAAATTTATATTTTATTTATTGCTTTTTTAATACCAAATATGAATTATCAAATCAAGGAGAATGAGGTGGGCAGGATACATAGCATGCATAGAGAGAAGAAAAATGTGCACAGCATTTTAGTCAGAAAATTTACAAGGAACCTCATGGGAGGATAGATGAGATAGGTTGTACAGTGATGAATCATGTTGTGAATATGTTATTTTGTTGATGAACATGCTTGAAGTTAACTGGGGGCCCATACAGGTAGATTTTACTGTGATATATCATGATTTTATTTAGATGTGAATTCAAGCTTTCATACATATTAATTACCAATTATAACAGCCCAGTATTGACAGCATAGAAGGATTCAGTCCCCAAATAATTCTGGACCTACTCTAATTTTAGATTTCGAATTAGTGTAGTGCAGCAAAATCGGTTGCTACTCTCAAAATTTATTTTTATAGTAGCCTATCCATGTACATAACCTAACATACATGTCTTTAGGTTACTGTGTCTTGACATTATCTTGCAGGAATCAGTCCAGCAGTATATGTTTTTCCTTACCACATTCTTTATGATACTTTTTGTTTATAGAGGTTTACAATGAAAAATATTTTGTTTACATTTTTTGATAAAATACTGTGGATGGTATCATAATTATTTTATAACCATTTTAATACATAAAGATAAAACTTTTTAGCGTAGTAGGAAGATATGTACAGTAAAACTTGGTTATAGCAACATCGGTTTCTGCGACACCTTGTCTATTGCGTCAGATATTCAATGGTATGAAATAATTCCTCATAAAGCAACTGTTTTTATACCTTGCTTAGTACGACATGCACAAATGCATCAACCTCGTATGTAACGTCATTTTCATTCCTGAATTTCTCTGATATGGACATTGGAAGTAATTTAGAAAGTGTGTATTGGGCAAGTAACAGGAAACAGATGAAGATAACTGATTACTATACTCGTATCTAGGTACAGTAAGGCACAACAATTGATGTAATCTACTGTAATTTGGTGAGTAGGCCTACGTTTAATATACAGTATTAGTGCGGTGTGTATTGTCAGTGAAAAGCGCTGTAATATGTCTTTGATATTACACATTTGGGCAATTCCACGTTAATGTTACGTTAGTCTGTACTTAACTACGTATTTCACTAAAAAATGCAACATTTTAACTCGGTTTTTGGTAGATTTTTACGTGACTAACATAAGGCTACTGTGGAAGTGCCCATTTCGGTTACAACGACATTCGTTTATAACGACACTATTTTTAGGACCCTTTGATGACGTTATAACCAAGTTCTACTGTATATTTATTTGAACTGAAATTATTCATTCTCCAAATTGTGAAGCCATTCTACTGAGAACCACCCTGAGAAGTCGCATTGAACACTGTAATTTTATATTAATTTCTTTTTACTATTAGAACGGTAGTGTGGATGGTTCGTTGGACAGCCCAGGTGATTCATCCAATGGTGGTGGTGCTTCAAACGGATCAACAGCACAAGTGACGGCTCAAGTAGTTGTGAGTAGTGAAACTGCAGCAGTGAATGCCGGAAGTTCCGAACAGAACGGATCTGCAGGATCAAATCAGACTGCCGGAACTACAACCATTGTGGGATCTCCACATTACATCACAGTCACAGGTACTTCACTGTTGTCTTATTATGATGTAGGTAGCCATATTTTTCATGCAATAGTATCTGAGTGCATGTGCATGCATATATGTGTTCATGCTGGAAAAATTGTTGCATTTATGTTATTAATTTTACTGTGACACTGATGAATATGAAAATGGGATACTTACATTGCAGTTTAACTATTCTTGCACTTGAAAAACTGAAAAATGCGTTCTGTTAATAGTTAAGTTTATAACTTACATATATTGTGCTCCTCCTCCCCCCTCAATACAGACACGCATGCACGTACATGCCCGCCCACACACGCAAACACAAAATATACTGGAGACATGTAAAGTCGGGTGCAGACTTGTTGCATATCCCCGTATCGTATCAGTGTGGACAGTACCCCGTATCATCCTTCCGTTACAAAACGTTGATAATATGATATGCAACGGGCTGTTCGCTCGCTTGGTGGTCTTTTCCTGTCACATCAAAGGGACGACACGCGTTGCAGTCGTGCCAGTCTGGACGTGCAGGCAGTTGCATCGTGCTTTGCTTATCAGCTCCGCACAAAAGACAGTTGGAGTGTAGTCATCACCAGTGTGCGTTTTTGTATTTTTGATTCTCTGTTTAAACTCTGAATGGAGTGGAGTAAGGAGAGCATTATATATTTAATTGATGAATGTAAGAAGAGGGACGTGGTTTTGAATCCCCAAAACACAGAACATTACAATAAAACAAAAAAGCAGGACCCATGGGAGGAGATAGGATAGGAACTGAACAGACTGAAAATTTAAGTCCGCCAAAAGATTGGACCCATTGTATACTTTCCTACTGGCATAAATTGGCGATATCCACAAACGTGATTTCTTTCTTCTTTCCTTTATAGCATAGTGAAGATAGATGTATGCGGCCACTGCTACTGTCAGGTTAGGTGTAGTTATTGCTGATTGAAATCTGGCTCAAAACTGAGATTCAGCTTGTCATATCTTTGTTGCCTTCTTGGAAGGACAAATTTTGTCACGTTGCATTGGATGATACGATACGGGGATACGCAACAAGTCTGGACCCAGCTTAAGCTTTCATTTCCAGATATATTCAGTGTGAGTAGTAATTAAGCGCAAAATAAATGCCATGGAAATTCAGTGTAGTTTCTAGACTAAAACTAGATCATGATCCTTGTTGCATGAAATATTTTAGAGTACTATATTTAGTGATTCAAAATTATACCAGCGATTTCATTGAACTCGGTTTAGGAGAAAAGAATTTTAATCCAGGATGTACTGTTTTACACAATTTATATGGGGAAGTGTTGATGTTTATTCCTTATTGTATGCTAACATCCAGACAGAAAGTGGTATTTCAGTGTTGAATGGTGGAATTAAATGACACTCATTCCTAAGTAATCATATTTTAAGGAAGCTTGTCCCTATACCCCTGTCTAGGCAGTTGCAAAACTTGTGAATTTCTTCTAGAATTAAACATCTGTGTATCAGGTCTGTCAGTAATGCAGCAATCATTAAAATATTCACCATTTAACACTAACACCACATGTTTTGGCCACAGATGACCATCCTCAGGTGTTTCAGTGCGTCCAAACTGCTACACTACTTTGATGCATGCTCAAATTGCGCGTTGCAGTAATTAAATTCAGCAATTATATTCAGAATTTAGACCTACTGTTAATTTTTTGTCTGTATACATACCATATAACTTCAACACATGACCTATATTTAAAAGTATGATATTTCTTGTGGTGCAAGCCCAATTCTGATCCATTTTATAGTTTAGAAGAGTGATGCATTTACATTTCACAGAATTTAAGACGGTTAATTCGAATGTGCTTGTTCACATATCACTTGCCCCCAAAAGACACTGTGCATAAAGAGAACACATGAAGCAAAAGCACAAATATTGACTTCAAAATTCCTGTTAACAAATGAGTATGAAGTGCCATGAGGCTCTTATGTTTGTATATTTTACTTGTTGAAAACTGCTTGGTGGCATCTTAGAGATTATTGACTTGGAAACATTCCTACACTGTTGTTATTCCTACTTCCTGTTTGAGAGGTTCTGGGTTTGATTTTTGGGTTGGAGGCCAGGTGTCTTGAATCTTCAGTCTTCCCTCCAGACAAATGCTTTGTTAGTAATGTGAAATAGCTTGTGATATTTTTCTTCCATGTTGTACCTGTGGGAGTACATACTGCCTTTAAACAAAATGTCTTCAAGTCCCCAGGGTTTTCAGTAGAAGGAGGTTTTACAGTATGTCTGAAAAGGTGTATGTTTTGATCATCATATCACATTAAAAGCATATATTGCTCATTTGTTGACTAGGCCAGTTACATTTGAAAAATGTATTTTCTTTCACAGTGCACATCTGTATATTAATACACACTTGTTTAGTGTATCAGTTCTTAGGACCAGTTACTTGACTCCTTTGGTTACTGTCTGATATCAGTCATAATTAAGAATATGGAATTAAGAATAAGAATTTAAAAACCCAGTGTTTGTGTACCCACTAGTATTAGTGTTTTTCTATAAACATTTATTGACATTTGCAGTGGTTTCTGAAACATCACTTTTCTGGTGGTAGTCATAAATTTATAATTTTGTGCATTTTTTGAGTATAATTTCAAACAGCAAAATATGAATCTGCAGTAAACAGTAGTGAGGTAGTGTTGATCTCCAGAAATGTCATATATGTTATTGGTAGTCATGTATGTCATCTTCAGTAATTTGTTAGATGTTTAATGCATGTAATGGGGTAAAAATTGTTTATGTTATAGGCCTAAATTATAATGTTCATGCGTAGATATAGGAAGTTATATATTGATATCTTAAAGAGAGCAGCAGAAATTGTGTTCTCTAAATATGATGTGTTATAATATGAAAATATGGTATGAAGTGTGACCAAAAAGTATTGAGACTGAATTCATATCTCAAGTAAAATTGTTCTGTCATGTTGAACATTTCCTGACATATTCCTGCGTGTTCAGGCATATTTACAGTTCGTTTCACTGCTTCAGTTATTTTTATTCAGTGTTTAAAATTTTGTCAGGTGTTGATTTATTGACATCCTAGAGTACAGAACAGTACATACGCATTGAACATGGTACACCATTGGAAAGGTGGAAATTGAAACATATTTCACTTTCGCTTTATTTTAAATTCCATAGATCCTTTCAGGTCACGCATGTCATAGGATATAGAACATTTCAAAATACATAAACACATACATAAAAACAATGGACCCATCAGCATGCAATAATTTGTACATAAATATTCAAATATGCTCCATGGATGGACTGGAACACTTGGAGTGGAAAGGGAGCTGGAACGTACAGTTGAGATCTCCTGGCAGACGTGCCGCAGTAGATGGAGACCGTGGTACCGGGATTAGTAGTTTCTCGAGCCGCAGGTTGGTGGTTGGCCTCAGGATTGTTTGGAGCTTATTGTCATTCTTCTTCAGTGCGGCCAGTACGCCATAGGATAGTAGCGCAGTGACAGATTCGATGCAAGAGAGGACGTCGGCTACAACGTTGTCCTGTCCATAGATGTGCCGTATGTCTGTCGTGAACTGGGTGACAATGTCTATATGATTAAACTGCCAAGGTGAGTATTTGTCCCTCTTCTGCTGGAAGGTGTAGGTAGTGGGCTTGTGGTCGGAGAAGATGATGAAGTGGCGCTCTTGCAGTATATGGCGGAAATGCTTTACGGCCTCGTAGATGGCTAGTAGCTTGCGATCATAGGGGCTGTACTTCTGCTGAGCCCTGTCGATCATCTTGGAGAAGGCGAGGGGTTCTGTCAGGCATTCTTGATGCGTTGCTGTAGAACTGCACCCAATTCGGACTTAGAGGCAGGCATCTATGACAAGTGCAAGTGGCTCAGATGGATCGGGGTGCGCCAGTAGGATGGCACATGACAAACTCGTCTGTCACTTTTCAGAGGCATTGAGGAATTTGGGCTTTCAGGTGATTGGTTGGAAGCCCTTGACTCTGGGGCCGAAGACACCATCTTGCTGTGGTGCCTGGGTGGCCACTGCATGGGGTAGAAATCGCCTATAGAAGTTCAGCATGCCCAGAAATTGGCGGAGCAAACTGGCGGTCTTGGGAGGGTGGCTGTCATGGAGATGAGGTTCATCCAGAGGTTGGGAATCCTAGACGGATACCTTGTAACCAAGGAAGGTTATCTAGGGTGCTCAAAAGACACTCCGCCAGGTTGATAAGGATCCTCTACCTCTGAAGTTGGTCAAATAGAGCTTGTAGGTGTTGCTTATGTTCTTCGAGTGACCTGGAGAAGGCGAGGATGTCTAAGTAGGTGAAACGGAAGTCGTGTCCTGCAGAATATCCAAGAAGCGTTGGAATGTCTTGGCGGGTTTGTGCAAGCTGAAGGGCATGAAGTGGAACTCAAATAGGCTGAATGGAGTGGTGATGGCGGTCTTCTGTATATCGTCAGGATAGACGGGGATTTGATTGTAAGCTCTCACCAGGTCAATCTTGGAGAAGATGGAACAACTGAAAAGTTGGTGGGAGTAGTCATGGATAAGCGATTGTGGATGATCCAGACATTAGTACTCTGTAGTCACCGCGTGGATGCCACCCGTTGCCCTTGGGCACGATATGTAGAGCAGAAGACCAGGAACTGTCTGAGTGGTGAGCTGTGCCTTCCCACAGCATGGCGTCGAGCTTGGCTTTGGCAACAGTGAGCCGGTCCGGTGCCAGTCACCGTGGTCGGCAGGTGACCAGTGGACCAGGTATTGTCTGGATATGATGGACAGTGTTGTGATGTACTTCACGCTAGACTCCAACTGGGCGAGTGAGGTCCGGGAATTCGGTGAGGAGACTATGAACCGGTGTGCTGTCCCTGATGGTTTTCACGCCTGGGGTCAGCGCACTGGCTACTTGGGCTGGGACAGACAACGATGTGACTCCGTCCAGTAGGTGGTTGTTTTGGCAGTCCACCAGGAGGTCGAAATGAGAGAGGAAGTTCACAGCGATGAGGGAATGTGTGATGTCGGCCACCAC